GAGACAAACTTGAATACCAAGACTTGGCTTGACCAAGATGGTCAAAAGCTTCCCCATCACTCAAAACTCATCCTCTCCAACTGCCCTCCTCAAGTCACATATTTCCGGAGCAAACGATTGCAGAGTCTTGCCCCGCTTCAAGCTTGCAGCCATGGTGATCGCAGCAGGAGGCTGAGGGATTGGCATCAGAGACAGAAAATAAAAGAAGAGGGATAGACCCAGATCTTCTAGCTCGGTCCCAGGCTGGGAAGCTGCTGAGCTCAGCCAGCCTTGCAGAGCTCTCCGTGGGATATTGAGGACAATGACAGGGCAGTTGTGGAATGGTTAAACATAGTCAAAGAGAAACAACAGGAGCTTTTTGGGCAGAAATCCAGGCAGCGCTGACAGTAATAGGCAGGCCCCGAATTGTTCATTCCCATGTTCCCAGCTTGCTAAAAATCTCCTGGGCAGTTAGGGCTTCCACGGGTATTTGAGTGAGCATCCCCGCCATGCTAGTAAGCCTGCTTGTATCTCCATCATTTGCCATAGTAAATCAGAGACTTCCATGTTATGCCCTGGGCCTACCTGTCTGTGCTGCGGGGACAGGCTCCTATAAATCTCTCCTCTCTGGCCATGACAGCGCCAATAAATCTCCCTTGGATGCATATCCTGACCAAGAAGGCCACAATAAATTTCCTGTAAGTGGTTGAGAGAGGAGGAATGAGGAAAGAAATAGGAGATTCACACGTGTCATTACACCTGCTTGCATGGAAGAAGAAAGCCTGGCACCCCCCCTCTGGCAGTCAGGTTCTGGCTCCATTTTCCACCCAGCCATTGCCCCTTGCTCCGATGCCACGGGCTGCCCTGCTCAACCCCCCTGTGTGCCGGCTGCACTCCCAGTGCCACCCAGGTACTGCTGTGCTGGGGGCCCCCACTCACCCCTGCACTTCCTCCCCTCCCGACAGCATCTCCCCGCCATGGCTGCCTCCTTCTGCTTGGGAGCTTACAGAGGAGATCCCCGGGAGCTGCAAGCACAGTTCCCATGCTGCTCCCTGCCACTTTCAGTTCCCCAAAGTACTTTTTTCAGAGAGACGATCTCCCTCCATACCACACGCTCACCTTCTCCTCTCTTCATCCCCGAGTTGTTTTATCTCCCTTTCATCCTCCTTGGCTGTATGAATGGCAGCCTTCTAGGGTCATCTGCAGGGTCTTCTTCTGTGCCTTTATAGCACTGCGCCAGGGGGATCTGGCCTCGATTGGGGTGTCTGTGCCGCCCTGTTGCACAGCACAATCCCAGCAAAGCTGCAAGCCTGCTGCTGTGGAGGAAGGGGGAACACCATCACTGAAAAGTGTGTTCAGGTGAGGACCACTATTTTGCTTGAGGTCCCATACCCAGTTCAGAAGATGCTCTGTTGGCTCCTGTGGCTCCCCAGTCATGGGATCCTGTCTGCAAAGACTGTCCCCTCCCTTGCTGCAGAGGTGGGAGTCAGGATGCATTAGGGCAAGAGCAGCTTTCCAGCGGTCCCTGGGACTGCAGCACTGACCAGCCGCCCGCTGTCAGCAAGGTTTTGGTGGCTCCATCCCCCAAGCCGGCTTTGTTTGTCCTGCAGGCTGGAAGATACCTGTAAAAAAAATCCAAAAGCGACCAAAAGGCCCATGTGTAGACAGCCATTTATTCTGTTGTCGTTTCACTTGCTCTCAGCCCAGTCAGGTCCCCAGGGGACACGTGGTGGGAGGCCAGAGGAGACACAGACCGCCACTTCCCTTTCCACAGTCTCAGTGCCAGGGTGACTGGTGACAAAGGGCAGGAAAGTGCGTGACTGTTGGAGGACAGAGAGCAAGAGTACGTGTGTGTGTGAGTGGAGGGGTCCCAGCAGGAGCCCTCCAGGGATCTGTGCTGAGACCTGGGCAGCTTAACACATCTGACCTGGAAGAGTCAGGCCTGGAAGGGACCTGGAGGAGCTATTCAAAGCATTTTGACCAGCACAATCAAGTAGAAAACAGCTTCTTTTCAAAGAACAACTGAGTATCTGAGATGCTCCAGCCTGCGAAAGAGATGGCTGAGGTCTGAAGCCATCAGTGATCTGGGGAGGAGGAAAGGGCTGGTGTTCATGTCTCTCCCAGCACAAGAACAGTGGCACCCCAAACAGTGCTAGCCCGCGACAGCTTCAAAACAAGCAAAAATGACCTCTCCATCCAACATGTAATTGGGGCCACAATGCCACAGGATACTGTGGGTGCTGACAGTTTATGGGGAATCAAAAGAAGACTGCATAAATCACAGGTTGATCCACTAACGTTTATTAAATGGATATTAAAAAACTCTCTCTTAGGAAGTTCTGGTGCCACAAAGGAAGGAAGAACCTTAATGGATAAGGGGCATGCAGCACTCAGAGCAGCCCCACGATCCAGGGATGAAGGGATGGTCCATGCTGCCGTCAGGATTTTAAACTTGTCATTGCTGAGGGGTCACAGACTGGGGTCAGGCCGAGGCAAAGGCTCTCCCAAGCTGGGTACATCCCTGCAAAGGCATCCCATCTCCACGTGGACTTTGTGAGCGAAGATCAGGACCCTGCATAATCTGGAGACAGGGGGCACTTACCAAATCCTTTGGCCAGGACACCTCCCTGGCTCCCCTGACTGCCACCTCTTTTGTCCCACAACGAAATTGCTTTGCTGAATGAGTGAGAGACAACATGTGCTTGGGAGTGGGAGGAAGCAGCTCGCCTGCTTCTGCAAGATTTTACCCAGCACATGGATGGCTCCTTACTGCATCAGAGTGATCCACTTCAGACAGCCCAGAGCAACACAGAATATTGCAGAGCACTTTATTTTTGCTAGGGTGGGCAATAAAGCAAGCCCTGTCAGTGTGCAGGACCTCTGAAGGTACACCGGTGGTACAACTGCAGCACTAAAAACACCAACGGCAGCATTTTTGAGCCAAGGGACGAAAGCCACTTTTAACACCAGCCTGGCATCTGAATCCCGTCCCCACAGGCATCCCCGGTGTAAAGCTGTCACTGAGCAGCCTGCCTTTTGGCTGAAGCAGCAGCTCAGCCAGCTTTTGCAGGGCCATAGCACATGATGCAAAAAAAAAAAGGGGCAAGCACTGCTGCAGTGCCCATCTTGCAGCAGGAGCAGGCTCTGTTACGCCTGCTGCCTGCCTGCTCGCCAGGAGCAGTCCTTTACCCAGGAGGTATCGGGGAAAGCACCATGTTCCTGGCCTGGCTTTTGGTTGGGAACATGCCACGTGCATCCAGCACCTGCTCCTGATTGCCTTCAGCCTCGCACAGGGCCAGGGGCCCGGCCCAGCTCCTGGGTTAATCCACCTTATACCTAAGGCACCTCGTACAGAGCAGCCATGGGTCTCCAGAGGAGGGGGAGACTTCAGGAAAATTCACAGCATCTGGCTACCTGCAAGGGATCTCACCTCCTATCACTGCAGGATTTTTATATTCTTTTTCCATGTTATTAAAAATTCTCAGGCATTTCAGTGAGACCCTTCCCTGTCTAAACCAAGTCCTGGCTACAGCTGTCCACACCGCCCATTGGGATGTCAGGAGAGGCTGATCCCTTCCCCAGCCCCAACCAGTACACCAAGACCCTTCTAGAAACCAGCCTGTGTTGCATTACAGGCCAGCTCAGCTCTTCTGCATGCTCCCAAGAGTGGAAGTTGTCATGCTCTATGTTAAGGAAAACCTTGAATGTATAGAAGTCAACTACGGCAATTGTGGAAGCCCTATCAAATGCCTCTGGGTCAAGATCAGAGGGGTCGTCTCCAAGGGGGATCTTACAGTAGGCATCTGCTACCGACCTCCAAACCAAGACGATAACGCCAACAAAGCAATATTTGGGTCACTTAAGCAAGCTTCGGGTCAACAGAACCTGATTCTTATGGGTGACTTCAACTACCCAGACATTTGTTGGAAGAACAATACAGTTCCTGGAAGGCGTAGAGGACTGCTTCCTTATACAAATGTTAGATGTGCCAACCAGGAATGAGGCACTGCTGGATTTGCTACTCACAAATCAAGAAAATCTGCTTTGTAATATCTCAGTTAGCAGTAGCCTTGGCTGCAGTGATCACAAGAGTGTGGTATTTTGGATCCTGCTACACACTAAAGGTTAGTACTAAGACAAAGGTTTTAGATTTTAGAAGAGCAAACTTCAGCTCGCTCAGAGCTCAGTTGGGAGGGATTCCGTGGGAAGCTTCCATGGAGGATAAAGGAGCTAGCGAGTGCTGGGAGTTTTTCAAGAACACCCTCCTGGAAGCACAAAAACAGTTCATCCCCTTTAAAGGTAAGGGAAGTAGGCAGAGCAAAAGACCCCTTTGGCTTAACTGCGAGCTTCCGAGTTTGCTCAAAACCAAAAGAGAAGTGTACCAGAGATGGAAAAGCGGATGAATACCCATTGAGAACTACAAGGGCATTGCCAGGGCGTGCAGAGATGCAGTTAGAAAAGCAAAAGCTCAGCTCATATTGAAATTGGCCAGAGATGTCAAAAACTACAAGAAAGGATTCTTCAGGTATGTAAACAACAAGCAGAAACAGAAGGAAAACATTGACCCGCTGTTAAACAGGAGAGGTGAATTAGTCACCAACAACGCTGAAAAGGCAGAGGTACTCAACACTTTCTTCACCTCTGTCTTTACCAACACTCTTGAGCCCCTAGCCTTGGGAACAAAAAAACAGGTTGATGCAAACACAGACGCACTGTCAGTGAAGGAAGAGTTGGTGTGTGAACTGTTACAGGAGCTTGACCCCTACAAATCGATGGGCCCTGACATTATCCACCTAAAGGTGTTGAAAGAGCTGGCTCATATCATTGTGAGGCCACTCTCCATAATCTTTGAGAAGTCATGGAGATCAGGGGACGTCCCAGAAGACGGGAAGAAGGCTAATGTCACCTCCATCTACAAGAAGGGCTTATAGGAGGATCCAGGAAATTATAGGCCCATCAGACTTACTTCAGTCCCTCGGAAAGTTATGGAACGAATCCTCCCACGGGCTATCACAAGTCAAATGAAGCACGTGACTGGGAAAAGCCAGCACGGGTTCACCGAGGGCAAATCGTGCTTGACAAACCTGGTCACCTTCTACGACAGAGTAACCTGCTCTGTTGATGTGGGGCGAGCGGTGGACATTGTCTACCTGGATTTCTCCAAGGCTTTCAATACGGTTTCCCACAGCCTCCTCCTAGAGAAACTGATGCATTACGGTCTAGACAAGTGG